AAACAGCCAATGGATTATGCGTCTCAATCTTAGTCAGCACTAAACGCTTTGATCTCGGAGTATGACAGAAGAAATTGGCGAGGAAGGAAGATCAGCCAACACAGATATTTTAAACAACTTAGATCAGACATTTTGGATGTTTCAAAACGTAAATGTCAAAGATTCTCATTTAAGGGGACTGAAATTCTTATATGAAGATATTAGCAACCATTTTAGCTCCCATAGTTACTGAAGCACATAAAAAACTAAAACTTTCGATCAGGAAAAATTCGAGTTAAGCTTTTCATCCTAAGGGGGGTGGGGTGGGTCAGACATTTTGTTCTTCAATTTTTTTCAGTGGGATGCTGGTTGTGCTATTCTAAATTCCTCCTTTTTAAAAGCTCCTCCCGGTAGGATGGCTCTAGTCTCGTCCAGGGATTTGGTGTAGTGAACCAAAATGAAAGTAACCATAGCAACATGGTTTTTGACATCAACCTCTTTTACCACCCCACCCCCCTTGTAATAAAAAAATTACTACAACAGTGGAGACATACTTTGTTTCACTCTAAAATTTTAAAAAGTCCTTGCGGCATAGTAGCCTCAGTAGCAAAAACAACACAGGAGCAATTTTCCAATATTGTTTCGGATTTATGTACTCATATGTATTTATATTTTCTGTCAGTCGAGGAAATAGTCCGGGTGCTAATGACGTCATCGCTCTTAACAGGATTTCTCACAAACATGGAAAATTTTTATGATAATTTAATGTACATTGTTGTCATTGCTTTCATTAAAGTAAGAACTAAAATATTTTTCAACTACATTGCACACTTTTCGTGATTAAACATTTTGGCATGCAGAAATTTTAAAAATGCCACAATGAACTAAGTAACGACATTGCCAAACGCTAACGATACGTATAATCTGTTAGGAGAGACGATAAAAAATATGCATTTTCGAGATGCTCCGTCGACACGGCTTTTCATACATTTGATGAATTTTACTGCTAGAATATTCATTGCTTTGTCTTTTGTCTCTAAAATTAACGCTTACCCAACCGTCAACTCAGACAAGCGGCGTTACTGAATCACAGCATGTTATGTAAGATTTCCCGAGTTTGCAAAAACCGCATCGTCACGCTAGGACCCAAATACTATCGCTATTCCCATCGACAAATAATTGTATTAATTAAGATTTTTGTTCAAGTAGAGCGCTGTAACAACTAACTAACCCATCAGCAAATTACGACGGAAATTCCTGGCGTAACTTTTTAGTCAAACATTTTGCATGAACACAATTCTTTGTTTACATCACATGCATGAAGTAAAGTCACTCCTGAATTAAATAAGCCCGGAAAGATTTAAGGAATTAGAGCGGCTTTTCAACACAAAAACATGCAAATAAAAGAATTCGCTCCCCGTATCATTTAGTGCCAATCCATGTTACACAGGCCATTTCATGTCAAGAACCAATACAGAGGACTACGAAATGGTTCATTTATGCTCATGGTCTAAACGAGTAAGGGACCGGGTACAAACGCTTTTAAAACTCCATCCTACACATGTAGGTTGGGTGACGATTCCTACCTTATTGGGCAGTTTTCAATTGAATTTCAAAAAACCCAAAACCAAAGCAATCGCTGCAACCAATCAGAAAAAAAAGGT